AACCCCTTTAAGAGAAGTGAGCCCCCTAAACTCGTCCCCTTTGGTCCAATGCAGCCTCCTCTGGAGACCGGACTGTTGTTGCCACGGAGACTACCGGGCGTTCCGATTGCTCTGGTGACGGATCCCTCCTCTCCCGGCACGGGTTCCAGAGGTTTCAGTCAAGCTCCTCCCTCAACGGCCCCGGAACCCCTCGTCCCTCCCCAAGTCCCCCTCCTCAGATCTGGCCAGAGCTCCTTTGCGAAGTTCTGCAGGTGTCCAAGTCCCCTCGCCAAGTCGTAGACTTGAAGGCAAGGCCTCTCACTACATAGCAAGTACAGCCAGGTCTCATCCAAGAGCCTTCCATCCCTCGCTAACATTTCCCCTTCCCAGCTTAAGACGAGATCCTGACCTAAGGACTTGTAACAGCCAAGACAGGCCCAGAGGTATGTAGTTTCTCCAATGGCTCTTCCTCCAAGCCCTCATCTCGTTCCCCTCCTAACATATTCTGTCCCTTCCCACCTTAGTCCAACCCTCTCCCATTCTCTACTTTTCATCCTTACCCTCCCCCTCCACCACGTTTCTCCACCCAGTTCCATCTTCCCCTTCTTTTTCTCCTTCCTCTCCTCCTACCGACTGATTCTCCACCCTCAAGTACCTTTTCCTGTGCTGAATGTCAGATCATCTTCCTAACCTACCTCTCTCACTACTTCTTGTCCCAAGCTTCCCCTTTGGAAAGACTAATGAATACAAGTAATGAATCCATCTGGAGCATGAGGGGGAAAGTAGGGAGCACAGAAAGTCAAGGCTGGAAAAGTTAGGCAGTGTTGCAAGTAATGACAGGCCTTGAATGTCAGGGCCCAGAAATTTGGAGTTAATCTTAAGGCTGAGACAACTGAGTGTTTTCAAGCAAAGGAACAGCATTGTTAGGCTTGCATTTTAGAAAGATCTCCAGTGGGTCATTAAGGAGGGCTGACTTCTTTTAGACATCCCTCCAAGATAAATTAGTCACACCTCACTCCCCACAGCATCCTGAGCTTACCCCAGCACAACATCAACTCATCTGTATTGTCATTGGGTTAACCTGGTCCACCTTCCCAGATTCTTTCAGAGTCCAGTGCTTAGCACAGTGCCTGGGTGAAAGTGTAAGATTGGGCTCTTCAAAAAGTATCAGTTTACAGGGGCAACTGGGTGGCTCAGTCAGTTAATCTTCCAACTCCAGCTCAGGTCATGACCTCACGGTTTGTGGGTTTGAGCCCCGTGTCGGGCTTGGTGCTGACAGCTCAGAGCCTGGAGCCTGCTTTGGATTCTGTGTCTCCCTCTCTCTCTGTTCCTCCCCTGCTCATGCTCTGTGTCTCAAAAAAAAAAAAAAAAAGTTAAAAAAAAATTTAAGTATAAGTTACATAAATCAATGAAAGAATGGCTGAGTGGATTGATGTGCTGGGGAAAGTCGCAGAGGGGCAAAGTTGTTACATAATCCAGGTAGAAAACTATGAGAACTTGAACAGAATTGGAGGGGAGAGAATGGATTTTGGTAATACAGTATTTAGAAGACAGGAAACACAGTTCTTGGTGCCTATTTGAAGATGAGGGCTGAGGGGAAAGGATAAGACTAAAATAATTCCCAGAGTTCAGTTTTGATGCCCTGTGGGACATCCATTTAGCAATGTCCAGCAAGCAATTGGGTTTGAGTGTGAAGTACAGGGATTTAAAGAGGTCTGAGCTGGAATTATGGATTTAGAAACCATCAGCATACCAGCCGGAAGTGATTGAAGCCTTGGACATGAATAACATCAAGGGAGGCTTGATTATGATCCCTAGACAAAACAGGCTGCAGTCAGGGCCCTGGCTAATGCATCATGACATTGTCTTGCACTCTTAAGAGCAAACCCCCACCTTGGCTTGGTAGTATCCCAGTCTCTAGAACTCCACTGCCTGAACATCCTGGTCCTAAGGCTCAGGCCCCTGCTCTTGGACTAGCCAAGCTGCTATGTTCAGGCTCTTCCTGGGGCATGGTCCTCTGCTACCATCTACTGATGGGATTCTGACTGCTTCAGCCTTTCTATCTTTAAGCTCCCTCACAACCCATAGCTACATGCCACACGGCATCTAGGCACACAGGTGAACCTCTTGGCACCATACCCTGACCCGAAGTTCATCTTGCTTCCCCTTTACATCTCAGGTGCACAGAAAACTTTATCCTAATTCCATAATCCACCCCCCCCACCCCCACCCCGTGAACTCTGACTTGCAGACCCTCCAACCTCCGATCCCAACCTAATGAAGCCTGTACCTTATTCTACCACTAGATGGAAACAGACGAGGTCACAGAAGAGCCTCAAACAGCCATGGATGCAGAGGAACACCCCTCTTCAAAGGACCCCTCTGCCAAGGACTCACAGGAGCCCCCTGGCCCTGAAACATCCTTTGAGGCTTCCATCCCTGAGACCCCTTTAGAGCCCCACACCTCTGAGATCCCTTTAGAGCCCCACATCTCTGAATCTCATAGGACACCATCTGCTTCCCAGGCCCTTTTAGAGACCCACACCTCTGAAACCCCTTTGGCAACTTACATCCCTGAGACCCCCTTAGAGCCCCACACCTCTGAATCTCATATGACACCATCTGCTTCCCAGGCCCCTTTAGAGATCCACACCTCTGAAACCCTTTTGGAGCCTTCCATCCCTGAGACCTCTTTAGGATACTCTGTCTCGGAGATCCCTTTGGAAACCCCTATCCCTGAGACCCTACTGGAGACTCACATGTTTAAGGTCCCAGAGAAACACCTTTCTTTTCATACCTCATCACAAGGCCGTATCACTGTACCTTCCTCTAATACTCTGAAGGAAGACCTCTCTGAGTATTCCTCCAGTGAGGTCTCACAGACAGGGAGGTCTACCCAGATCTCTGAGTCTGAGATCCTTCAAAAGCACTCCCTTTCAGGCCCTTCAGCCCAGGTCCACCTGGACACATCTGCAAAGGAGAAGGAAGAGGAAGGAGAGGACAAGGAGCAGGTGGATGCCACTGACAGTACCACACACACAGCTCAGCCTGGACACCAGCTGGTCAAGAAGAAGGGGAAGAAAGGAGTTAGCCGTAATTGTGCCTGCACTTTTCCCCATTCCCCATTATATATATAATTTATTGTCAAATTAGTTAACATACAGTGTACACAGTGCACTCTTGGCTTAGGGAGTAGATTCCCATGGTTCATCACTTATATACAACACCCAGTGCTCATCCCAGCAAGTGCCCTCCTCAATGTCCATCACCCATTTTCCCTGCCCCCTAACCCCCCACCCCATCAACCCTTAGTTTGTTCTCTGTATTTTAGAGTCTCTTTTGGTTTGCCTCCCTCTCTGTTTGTAACTATTTTTTTCTTTCCCTTCCCCCATGGTCTTCTGTTAAGCTCTTCAAGTTCCACATATGAGTGAAAACATAGGATATCTGTCTTTCTCTGACTGACTTATTTTTCAGCCTAATACCCTCCAGTTCCATCCAAGTTGTTGCAAATGGCAGGATTTCATTCTTTCTCATTGCCAAGTGGTATCCCATTGTATATATAAACCACATCTTCTTTTTTTTTTAATTTTTTAATGTTTATTTATTTTTGAGAGACAGAGGCAGCATGAGTGGGGGAGGGGCAGAGAGAGAGGGAGACCCAGACTGTGAAGCAGGCTCCAGGCTCTGAGCTGTCAGCACAGAGCCCGACGCAAACCACATCTTCTTTATCTATTCATCAGTTGATGGACATTTGGGCTCTTTCCATAATTTGGCTTTCCGTAATTTGTTGAAAGCGCTGCTATAAACATTGGGGTACATGGGGTACATGTGCCCCTATGAATCAGCACTCCTGTATCCTTTGGATAAATTCCTAGTAGTGCAATTGCTGGGTCATAGGGTAATTTTATTTTTAATTTTTTGAGGAACCTCCACACTGTTTTCCAGAGTGGCTGCACCAGTTTGCATTCCCACCAACAATGCAAAAGGGTTCCCCTTTCTCCACATCCTCTCCAACATCTATTATTCCCTGAATTGTTAATTTTAGCTACTCTGACCAGTGTGAGATGGTATCTCAATGTGGTTTTGATTTGTATTTCCCTGATGATGAGTGACATTGAACATCTTTTCATGTGTCTGTCAGCCATTCAGATGTCTTCCTTGGAAAAGTGTCTTTTCATGTCTTCTGCCCATTTCTTCACTGGATTATTTGTTTTCCAGGTGTTGGGTTCGTTAAGTTCTTAATAGATTTTGGACACTAATCCTTTATCTGATATGTCATTTGTAAATATCTTCTTCCATTCCATTGGTTGCCTTTTAGTTTTGTTGATTGTTTCCTTTGCTGTGCAGAAGCTTTTTATCTTTGGAGCTCCTGGGTGGCTCAGTCAGTTAAGCATCTGACTTTGGCTCAGGTCATCATCTCACAGTTCATGAGTTTGAGCCCTGCATCAGGCTCTGTGCTGACAGCACAGAACCTGGAGCCTGCTTCAAATTCTGTGTCCCCCCCCCCCCCGCCCCTCCCCTGCTCACTCACTCACTCTCTCTCTCTCTCTCAAAAATAAGTGAACTTAAAAATTTTTTTGAAGAATCTTTTTATCTTGATGAGGTCCCAATAGTTCATTTTTGCTTTTATTTCCCTTGCCTTCAGAAACATGTCAAGTAAGAAGTTGCTGTGGCTGAGGTCAAAGAGGTTGTTGCCTGTTTTCTCTTCTAGGATTTTGATGGTTTCCTGTCTCACATTTAGGTCTTTCATCCATTTTGAATTTATCTTTGTGTATGGTGTAAGAAAGTGGTCCAGTTTCATTCTTCTGCATATTGCTGTCCAGTTCTCCCAGCACCATTTGCTAAAGAGGCTTTTTCCATTGCATATGCTTCCCTGCTTTATCAAAGATTAGTTGGCCATATATTTGTGGGTCCAATTCTGGGTTCTCTATTCTATTCCATTAGTCTATGTGTCTGTGCCAATTACCATACTGTCTTGATGATTACAGCTTTGTAGTAGAGGCTAAAGTCCGGGATTGTGATGCCTCCAGCTTTGGTTTTCTTTTTCAACATTACTTTGGCTATTCAGAGTCTTTTGTGGACTTTTCCCCATTCTCATCACCGTCTTACACCTGTCCCAATAAGAGGGGATTGGGTTACTCTTTGACCTGGCCCATTCTTTTAGTTTTAGGGACTCCTTACTTCCCTTTGGTTACTCAGCCTCTCCCTTCCCAGGTTATGCGGTCCAACCAGAGGTCCCCACTCAGCAGACAGAGATGGTGGAAGTGGCTAAGGCAATGCACAGAAAGAAGTTCAGTGCTCAGGCAAATTATCTTTTCCAATGGGAGAAGAATGCAACCCTGAATGCCATCCAGACAGGTGAGCCCAGGAAGCCCTTGAGAGGCCTGTGACAGGCCCATGGCCAACCTCCAATCCAACTATATCAGGGAACCTGCCCTGAACAATGGAGAGCTGCTCCTTGTAGAAATGGCAATGCTGCCTGCCTGAAATATTGGAGTGGAGCAGGCAGGTGGGCCAAAGTGGATGGCATGGGTGCAGGAAAAAAGTGAAGATATTCATATAAAACCCAGGTAGGGACAGGCAGCTAAAATGAAGTTGTTTAAAAAAAAAAAAAAAGCAGGGCCACAGGCCGACCCCACATCTAGGGTTCTAATAGCCTACACCAAACAGACCTTAAAGCAGAGATGGCCCAGACCTTGGATAGTCCAGGAGACTTGGTGCTCTGACATGGCAAAAGGCCTTGGTCCACTTGGTTGAACTCCATTAAAAGGCTGTCACCCTGCATGCCAGACCGAGAATCACCTGTTACCCAAAAGCCATGAGTCTCTCCACCAAAAAGGAGAGTTGTACCTCCCAGCCCTGTCAATTCCAAGTCTCAGCCCAGAATTAGTACTTTTCACAGCCCCATTAGTGGCTTGCTAGCTTATCTAGTCGGCATATAAAGGGTGTGCAGATGTACTAGGTATACATATGCCATCCGGTGTGTGTGAGCATGTGTACCTGTGTTGCTGAACTTCATGTCTACAGGGAATACCTTCAGAAAGAAGGCCACCCTGACCCACTCTGCAGATTCTGGGGTTTCTAGACTGAATTAGATAGACATCACTGTATTTATTTTTGTCTTTCATACTTCCTTTCCCCTTATGATAGGAAGAGAGTTATGTTGAGACTAGATGAGCCTAAGATAGAAAGACAGCCAGGTAATTCTATGTCCTTCTCCCTTCTCCATGCAATTTGATTTCCTCATTCTCATGCAGGGCCCCTTCCCCCTCCACCCCGGGCCAAGAAAGTCACAATGATCTCATTTGGGTCTCTAGAGAATCCATATATGTTCTGTGTAGAGAAAGATCAAGTGTAAGCTTTTCTTTTATTTATTCAGCATTTATTGAACACCAACTATGTGTCAGGCATTGAGCTAGATGTGGAGGTAGTGGTTGGTGGGATTTCAAAAACAAAATCCCTCAAATAATTTGTACTCTGAGAGACACCAAAAAGTAAAAGGATAATTGTAATTCATTCTAATAATTGCTGTGACTGAGGTTAGCCCAGAGTGCTGCATGAGCAGAGATAAGAGGCACCCAATCTTAGGGGCTCAGGGAATAAGCCTTGGAAGGGATGACTTCTCAGCTGAAATCTGTAAGATGAGTAAAAAGAGGTGGCCAGGTAAAAAGTGAGGTAAGGTGAGACATGACAGGGCAAGGCACCAGGAGGAAACTGCAAGCAATATTGGACAGAGCTCAGCTCTGGACCAAGAGAATTGTACAGGCATTTCTGTGGCAAAGGTCAAGAGTTGGGACTATATCCTAAGGGCACGTGAGAGTCACTGCAAGATTTTAAATGGGACAACAACACGACCAAATTTGTGTTTTTGAAAGACCACTGTGTCAGTAGCATAGACTGGAGAAAGATACGACTGGACATAGGAAGACTACATTTGGCCCCGGTAATAGTCTGGGTAAGAAGTGAATGGGTATAGGTGGATGAAGTAGATTCAAGAAACGCTGAGAAGACAAAACTGACCTTTGGATCTTTGGATGTGTAGGATAAGAAAGAAGGACATGCCTGGAATGACATCTAGGTGTTTGACTTAAGAGACTGATTAGATGATGATGCCATTCATGAATGCCTAAAACAGAGTAGATGCATAAGTACATGTTGGATGAACAGAGGACAAAGGATGAGGGTGAGGTTCGGAAGGAAGAATTGAATTTACTGCATTTGAAGTGCTTGTGGAACATGCTGGTAAAAGGGTCCAGTAGACAACTGGCTGTATGGGTCTGAAGCTCAGGAGAGAAGTCTGGACTAGAGACATCCTTAATGAAAAGACATATGTTGTATGGAGATATTCTAAGCAAAAAGAGATGTTATCATGCAAATGTGAGTATGTGACCATGGAATTGACTGTGTTGTACCTTGCCTGGTATTTTCACAGTAAGCATCTGTGCCGTAGACCTCTTTGCCACAAATATTATTCTTTTTTTTTTCTTTTTTTTTAAGTTTTATTTTATTTTATTTATTTATTTATTATTTTTTTATTTATATATGAAATTTATTGTCAAATTGGTTTCCATACAACACCCAGTGCTCATCCCAAAAGGTGCCCTCCTCAATACCCATCACCCACCCTCTCCTCCCTCCCACCCCCCATCAACCCTCAGTTTGCTCTCAGTTCTCAACAGTCTCTTATGCTTTGGCTCTCTCCCACTCTAACCTCTTTTTTTTTTTTTTTTTTCCTTCCCCT